TATGGCCAAAGCTACTCAATTGTAATGGCCGCTGGCATAAAATAAAGCTCACAACGAGGGCGCTCAGAAAACGGCCACGCCCACAAGGCCAACCAACACCTTTTTTATGCGTTTTCATTTGCGAAAGCGGAGAAAATATCTTGCCCACGGGGCGTATTAAAATCAATTCATTTAATTTTGATCAAAGCGAAATAAATCTTTGCGCTTTTTGCTTAATTTCCTTCGTTTTGCCAGAGAGGGAAAATGGAGAAAATCCACAACAACGTCAGTGAGTAATTTGGTATAAGTGTGTGTGTGTGTGGGTGTGTTTGTGTGAGCTGTAAAACGCAAAGTAAGACAAAAAGCACAAGTAACTGAGAAATACCGTAAGCGAAATGAGAAATCATTAGTAAGTAAAAAGCTTGTCAATGTGTGTGTAAGTACAAACACAGACGAACTGAAGATAAAGACACACACACAAAAGGAAAGCGGCGTGTAAAAGTTTTTCCAGCTCCCTGTGATTCTCCTTATCAATGCCAGCGACGGCAACTGAATTAATTTTTCAATTCGCCAAACGAATTCATTGACTTTTTGTGTTCGCCCACACCCATGCACCCACACACCCGCACAACCAGCTCCTTGCACACACACACACATACACACAGTCAAAGATACTGATGCAGACTCCACGTTTCTGCTTGGGTATTAAAATCCTTTAAACAGATTTCATTTCGAACGCTTTGCGGTCGATAAATGCATTTCACTTTGGTGGTTTTTATACCCACACAAACTCACACACACACACACACACAACGTAGCTATTATACGCTTCACATGTGTCTGTGTGTTTCATTTGGCATTGCATACTTTTCGGCTGCTGCTATCCTTTTCGGCTATTCCGCCTTCGCAGCTGACTCTTTCCAATGATTTGCTGGCAAATTACTTTGAGGTGTTGCCTGCTGTCTCTCGCCTCACTTTGCCACTTTTCCCCGCTTTCCCTTGCCTTCCCTGCTGTACAAAAATTGGCAAATTCATTTCCAAAACAAACATTTAGTATGTGTGTTTGTCTGTACGCGGGGGTGAGTGAGTCTGTATGTGTATGTTAGCTGCAAGTGTTGCCAACCAATTTAAAAGTTTTGCTGTCGCCGTCGCCTGAGCGAAAGTAAAGCGCGCCCGCTGTTGTTGTTGCTGCATCGTTTGGGGGCAAGCAAAAACAGCCAAGTGCAGGCGGATCACAGGCAGATGGAGATAATACAGCCAAATACAGTGGAAATTAGCTTAGGGAAATTCCATCACGTTTTGGACAGGAAAACATGTGTTTCTTCTCAAAGAAAGATCTTCAGAAAATATACTGATAGTTAAAATGCAAGGCTCTTATATACTTAACATTTTTCTAAGACTTTGATTTTAAATATTTTTGTTTAGGCTTTGCTTTTCGATCACTAAGAAATTGAATGTCAATCATTTAATGTTTAATGTTGTATTTATTAATAAATAAAACCATTCAAATGCGTTCTCCACACATTTATAATATTTTTTAAATTTGGTTTGTCTAATGCTTAAAACGTCATTTTAATAATTGTATTATTTGTATAACTAAAGCCATATTTAATTAAACCAGAGTGAGTTGCTTCTAGGGTCAGTTATCTCACAAAAAAAATCCACGAAAACGTAGGAAATTTTAAAGTTTAAATTAGAAGGGAAAACGGGCCTAAAGCTAGCTAAATTAAAGGCCAGGATTTTTCAGCATATGGACTTTCAGTTAGGGGTAACTGCCACTGTAGTTGGCCATTATGGAGGTTGATGCTGTTGTGATGCCGTTGCGAAGCTGTGGATGGAACTCTTTCCGCAGCCAACTACTGTGGCACTTGTTGGCTTGGCTGCTGCTGTTGCAGTTGCGACACTTGAGAAACTCGCAGTCGCTGTTTGTTTTTGCAACAGCGGCATGTAGGTGTAACGCGCCCCCCTTTTTGCCCTGTGTATGGGTGGGTGTAAGTGCTGCTCGAAAGTTCATGCACCGTGTGGCACTGCAGCTGTGTGTGTGTGTGCTCACTGCATATATAAATTTATATGCATGTGCCTGTTACGCTCGGCTCCTTTCGCTTTGCCGGCAGTTTGGCCGACTCCCTCGCATTTGAATTGGAAATTCAGCGGCGTGCTTAATTTTCAATTTGCAATCATTTGGCCTGGTAATCAATGTTTGCTTTGTCGGTGTGCGGTTGTCGACTTTTTCTAGTCCTCTGCTAATTAGTAACTAAGTGTGGCTCATCGCAAAGTCGATTGTCCTTCCTTCCTTTTTTCCTATTTGATTCTGTTCACTGGCAAACCATGTTAGAAAGTTCTCCAGTTTTGAGAACAAATTGTAATTGTTGCATAAAATTTTACGAATTTTTTTGGTATACTTTTTACAATGGTAAATACAACTATGCTAAGTAAAGAGATAATTATTTTTAGATTTTAAGAAGATTTACATTTTAATTAACAAATCAGCATTATAGATTAATAAACAGTTCGCTGAAGTAATGTAATCTCTTTAATAACAAATAAAATTGAACCTTTGACTAAACCTATTCGTTGAGAAGTATTTAAAAATATTATAATAATATATTAACATTTTAATTTGCCATATCAATAGTCAGTAATTCTCTCTTTTGAGAGACAAATTAAATATCAATGAAAAACTAATCGGTATGCTAATTTTCATTCAGCAATCAATTGCCTTTGTGCGGCTATCGACTTTTTCTATATCCCTGCTAATTAGTAACTAAGTGCGGCTCATCGCAAAGTCAATTGTCCTGGAAACGACTCTCCATTTTTTTTTGTCCGGTTAACCACTAGTGAATTTGCTCCACTTTCGCACTGCTCATTTCCCTGGGCTTTCCCCCAACGATTTCCCGGGTTTGTAGTAAGCCGCCCCGCATTAAGCCAACTTACACAATGCCCGGAACCGGCAGACTCTTCACTTTCGCCCCGGCTTGCAGCTCCTATTTATGCCCTGCCAGTTGGTGTTGTCTTGTCTAGTAATTTTCTCACACTTTTCCAGCCGCTCATCAACGCTCCGGCGGCCAAAGGGAAAGGCAAACTTCGCAGACTCAAGTGTGGAAATTTTCACTTTTTTGCCATAATTAAATTCATTTTCAAGTTGCTCTTGCTGCCTGGCTTTCGACTCAACGAGAGATGCCACACCGACGCACACTCAACTTTTCACTATTTTTAGTAGAAGTAGACATAGTAGACATTTTCCATTTTTCATTACAGTCCAAAGTCAGGCCGCCAGTCCGCCCGCCAGTCCGCCCGCTTTTCCTCGTTTTCCCTGCCTTCCTCGTTTCATTTTCATGCAGCTTCCTGTGCCGTTGTTTCCGGTTTTATGCCTGCCAGTGTCTATTTGTGTATAGTTTTTGCCATTAGCAACCGTCGTTGTAGTTGTTGTTAAGCTGAAGGAGAAGGGCCTACAAATTGGTGAACAGTCCCAGTTTCTGCCTCTATCCCTGCCTTTGTTTCCAAGTTTCGGCTTAAGTTGTTTTTAAGTTGTAAATCTCTACGGGCATGCAATTTCCCAGCCCCGACCGACAAGGCTGTATCAAATTTTTCATTTGTGGTTAAAAATATGAAAATTGTAACTGATATTTATGCTTGTAATGCCTACGCTTGACATTTTCAGACCGGAGGGGTGGTGTCCACAATAATTCATCTCCGAAATGCGTGTTCGAGTTTTGTTATTTTCGGATTACGTGTGCGAATTTGCCCCCTTGGAATTTTACTCATTCAAAACTGGCCGAAAGTGTGCTTTATTGGAATTTTTGAAATCTACCCCTTGACTTCCGACTGTCTGAGACACGTTTAATTGAATGTGTTGCCAGGATGATTTTGGCCATGTGACGCATACAAATTTCTATAAATATGAAATACTTTGATATCGATTGCCTGAGGCTTTTTTTCGGTTTGAATTGTAATTGTTCAGACTTTGGTTTGAATATATAAGCTGATGTTTTCTCTGCAGAGGTGATGGCTTATTCATGATTTTGATTAAAGCTTTAACGGGATTTATTTTGGCAAGAGGTTTTTAAAAAATTTTTTAACTTTAACTTTTCCTCGTTTTTCATTATCAAATTTATAATTTCTAAAATGTGGAAACAAGTTTAATTGCCAGTGGCAAAAAAATTAAACATTGGCAATTAAAATATTTTTCAGCACAAACAGCATTTCATTAAGATACAACTAATACAATAAATTATGTTTTTGCCATGGCCACGTTTGAATGATTTGCTAACTTTTTAAGCTCTCACAAATCCTGGCATGAAAATGAAACACAATTATATCGCAAAATAAAATTCATTCAATTAAATCCTAGCTAAAAGCCAATCTGAATACGTTTAGAATTGCAAATGACTTTGCTGACGTTTTTTAAATTAATCTAATACTTGATTTATTAATTTTTACATAGTATTAAATTGTTTGCTGGTTTTAAGAATTCCGCTTAAGTGTTTTGGCGATTTAAATGTTGTTTTCTTTTGGGATGTAAAATATTAATTCATTTATAAACAAATTGCGTCTTTCACTTGAACTTTTTATAAGTAATGGAAAGTTATGTTGAATTAAATACTAAATACTATGTTGAATTGATAGACACTTGTCTTTGAGCTTATTTGTTTTGTAAGCAAATTAAGTTTTTCTAACTCTGTTTATCTTCTTTAAAATAATTTGCTTCCTACTTAAAAAAGGTTCTTAGAAGTAAATCACCAGCAAATCACTTTTTGCGTTCAATAAAATATTAATTTTACTAAGAAAACTAGTCGTTAGTTTTTCCAAGGAATCGGCATCCATTGAGAATAAATTATAAGCAGGTTGATGGGAAAAATGACCCCGCAATAAAAACGAGTTCGTTGCCAGCAGCATTCGAAACACGTCTCAGGGGCAAAATGGCAGCGACATTTCTCAATTTATGCAACACCTTTTGCCGGTGGAAATTCCGCCAAAACGTTGGAGGACATTCACCCCGGGAAACTCGCTTTTCCACTCACCTGGCTTGGAGTTGCTGCCCACGAGCTGCTGCTGCTGTTGCTGCTGCGACATTTGCTGCTGCTGCTGTTGCTGCTGCTGCTGCTGCGAGTGCTGCTGCTGGCCATTGTGCTGCAAATGGGCAGCTGTCACCGATTGCTGCTGCTGCTGCTGCTGGGCGGCTGCTGCGGCCGCCGCTGCGGGATGGATGGCCAGCAGCTTCGTTTCCGGCGGCTTGTGCGGACCCATTGTGATCTGCGGGGCACCCATGGCTATGGTCGGTGCTGGCATCATCAGGGTCGACATGGTCAGCATTATTTGCGAGTGAATCTTGGTCGCTGCACTGGGATGGACTCGGACCTGCTCTAAGGGGATGCAAGGGGTTCGGTCTTCGGCTTTGTCTCTATTGATTTGCTGACCCCTCCGCAGGAGCTGAACTCGGTGCCAAAGGTCGTGCGTTAGCCTTTGTCGCCAGCTTTCTCTGGCTCTCGCCTCTGTTTTTTTTCTATATGTACGGAGTGCAAACTTATGAAATATGCTCTTGCCTCGCCTCGCCTCGTCTTTATGTATTTTCACTTTTCGTGCTGGCTGGGTACTCTTTTTTTTATATACTATACATATATATTTATTGGCATAAGTATGGGTATGTGTATTTTTTTCGCCTTTCCTTTATGTTTCGCTTATGTGTTTGTTCAACCGGAAATACACGAACTCAAGCGCACTTGGCTTGTAATATCGTTTCAGGGATTTCCTTCGCCTTCTGCCTGCCAGTAATCGCAAATTATTCTTTCTTTTCTGTTGTGTCTGCTGGCAGCGGAAATTATAAATATTCCTGTCATGCGAGTACTACGAGTTTTGTGCCCCCAGACGTCTTCTGTTTTAATATCAATGTCTGGTATGCAAAATGTCAGGCCAAAAAAAAAATGGAAAATAGGAGGGAAAATAATGAAAATATGTGAGAAAATAACAGGGAATAAGCGCCAAACAAAAAAGTGAAGCCCTGCTCAGCCGCCTCAAAGTCGCTGGCAAAGTTTAAAGGCAGCTCCTGCAATGGCAATTATTTTGCCGGCAGCTTTTGGGGTTTTTGTCGCGCGCGAATTCGGCTGGCAACTTCAGAAGTCAGTGACTGTGAGTGCGTGGATTCACCTCAGTGAAAGTTGTGAAAATGCTAGGAAACTTAAACGTATGCTGCCATCTCATGATCGCTAAACAAAAAATATGCAAGCCCAAGCCCAGAATAATTTGCCACTAGAGGCAATCAGAAGTCAATGTTTCGAACTACGCACGAACCAGGCAGACGAGACCAATCGCACACACAGGATATAATTTACAGGATATACAAAGCGTTCGGTATACGTTCGTACTAGACCGCTGGGCGACGCTTTTCTTACTGAACGCCAGGAGCACACGCATTGGCCAAAATTCGGAGGCGCTGCTGCCACTGCAACGACGGCAGAAAGGCTGCCGATTTTCCTGCTGCCGATTTTCCCGCTGCTGCTGCCGCTGAAATCGCTGCTGCTGCTGCTGTTGCTGCTGCTGCTGCTGCTGTCGCCGATGATGCGTTTCCCTACATTTCTCTTCGGCGGCAAGGGACCTCGGCAAACGTACACGAGGCTGGCTGCCATCGCTGCCTTCGTTCATGAAATATTCACGAATGGCTCGCTCTCACTCGCGCCGCCGTCTCCTTTCTGAGTCCTTGCTCTCCGGGCCTCTCTCCATCCCGCCTCCGCCTCGGAATCCCGGCTGCCTCGTTTCCTCGCTCCGGGCGCCATTCACAAGTTCGGGCGCCTCGTCCTTTCTGGTCCTTTCGGCTCCTTTCGCCGCAGAGCGCAGAATCCTCAATCGGCGAGAGAGAGCAGGCATTTTCGAAAGCGCCAGACACATTTGAAATTGGTTGTGAATCCCGGGGCCTTAGTTTTTGTTTAATAACTTTTTACTTTACTCTAGGAATGTTGAAATATATTTTAATTAAACTAGCATATTAACATAACATATTTATACTAAGAATTACTATCTAATCATCTGTAATTTAAGTAATCAAAAGCGTCGTAACTTGCTGCTCATGGTATTCCAAAGGAACTTCGAAAAAATTCCTTCTCTTGCCTGCCTAATCGAAAATCCCAGTATTTTTATGGCAAGGTATTAAAAACTGTTATACGCAGCCTGCCAAAGCAAATGTTAATAACATCAATACCTTTATATATTTGCTATTTTTAATTAGATAAAGTATCCTTAAAAAAATACTATTAATATATTTTTCTCTGAAAATTAAAAAAAAATAAAATTGTATATAATTAAAAAAATTTTAACAAGAGGATATGTGGTTATTGAGTGAATATATGTATAATGGGATATACTAGCGTATTCTATTGCTTTTATTTTTGCTCTTTAAGGGTTTCCGGCAAAATATTATTTTTAGCTTATAATTTTTTAAGCTCCAAAAATGTTGGATGCTTTTGCATCAACAAGTATTGTTTTTAAACAATTATAGACTAATTTAGTATGCATTTTAAGCTATTAAAAATATTTTTGCAAATACCTTTTTATCTTTACGATAAAAGGGGAAGGTACAGTAGCATCAAACTGAACGATTGTGGTGAGTGTCAGACAGGAAACGTTCAAATGTGAAAGGGTAAGGATAAATAAACTGTCACCATCATCTGTAGGAATCCTGCCCTAAGGCTGACTTTTGGAGACAGAGTTTTTCTTCTAGAATTTGAAAATTGCACAGACTATTAGTCGTATGAGTTGTATATCCCTGTCTCCTGCTTTTCCAACCTTAATTGCAGCCCAGGAACGTAACACAAACAGGACAAGAGAAAGAATGCAATTTCAGGTGTAGCTCCTTATTATTGCACTCTTTCCTCCTCACGTTTATTTCTTTTTTTCGTTATTAACATACTTTTTCGTGTCGACAGCGGTGACAGGGACAGCGACCGAGACGTTGACGGTGTTTTGAGGTAATGTTGCAAAGAGCACTGCTCGAAAATGGAGCAGAGAATGGGAAGCAACCAACAGCGAAATGGGAAAAGAGAAAAATACATAATTACATGTAATTTAGCATGCGACATTATCATTGTTCTGCTCGTATTTAGCATAGAATCAACGTCGCACGACACAGACATGGAGTGTCCGTGGAATACCTCGTGTGGCGGACGACGGGTCCTCAGTGTCCTTTGTCCCTGATTTCTCACTCATATGTATATACTTGGAGAAAAAGTTATTGTAAGATCATAAATTTGTATTGACTTTTTCTATAGATTATCCAAAGAAAATATAAAATAAAATATCTAACAGAGTATAAGGAACTAAAAAAACGGAATATTATCCTTAGTTTGTTAGATCTTTATAAGTGTTAACTTTGGAATGGAAAAATGCAAATAAACGACTGACTTATATATTTTTACTGTGCAACATTGCATGTGCTTAAATGCAACAAAAACAGCAGCAACTTGACGTAATAACAAAAGTGAAGTAAACAATAAGAACCGGCCCTTAGAGCGATGGAAAAGACGAGTTTCTTTCTTTTTCTCACTCGCACTCTCCATCCCTCTCCCTCTCTCTCTATATGTGTCCTGCTGTGTTCTTCTCCGATTCCATGCACTTGTGTTCGTATGTCTGTGATGACAATTGCCCTTTGAATTTTTTAAATCCCTTTAAATGAAAACAACAACAGGATTCCCCCAGCCTTTGGCCTTTTGTTCTTTGAGTTTCGCTTGTTAGGTAAATCAGCGCCAGTTTGATTGTGTGAGTGCTTTGCAGCAAGAACAACAATGAGAGAGCAACAACAATATCATCATGCGGAAAGTTATAACGTGCTTAAGCGTCTTTAGCTGAAATGAGGCTAAAAATATTTGCTTATAATGAAGTGCACGACTGTGTGAGTATGACCTGTGACCATGCACAAGTACATATACACACATACATACATTTGTTTGTTTGTTTGTCACTGTGTGTGTGTGTGTGAGTGTGGCTACATAACAATAGCGCATTGGGTACTATTGTTGTTGTACTTGAGGACCAACCCCTCCACACCCCCCGCATAAGCAGAAAATTAAGGCATTGTTAAAGCCAATTAGGGTATTTAGTCGAGAGCCCTGTCGCGAAAGCCGTGTGGACACAACACGGCGTATGCGTGATATTTTATGGCGGTTGACAGCTGCCAAGGATAAGAGCGCGAAACCATAGGGAAAACTTCAAGGGAATTTTCTTGAAAACTATGAGAAGGGCAGTTGCATTTTTGGTGAAATTAAAATTAAAGCTCAATAAATTACAAATAAACTTAATCTAAAATCCTTTGACCAATTTGGCCCAATTTTTAGGGGATTACCATATGTCAAAAAGAACAAATAACTCTTAAGTCTTTAAAGCAAAAGTTTTAAGTGCAAATTAATCGGGTTCGAGCCAAATCAAACCCTGGAAAACTAAGCCACAACAAACATGCCACTTCTTGACATAACCAATTGCCTGGGCAGGAGCCAAATAGGTCGAAGCCAGACCCTTTAAAGGACAATGGGATGGACGAGAAGGCAAAGGATAGCTGGATAATTGGGAGAGGAGCAAACGTTGGTGGCGAATCCACTGGTGATGCTTTTGGGCCACAACAACTAAGCACCTTTTGGCCGAAACACACGCACTGGGAAGACTTGCCACATTTGATGGCTCAGCAAGGAATTTGCAAATTTCGGGCACCCAAAAATTGCCACTAAATAAATTCATGTTCGCATGCTCAAGACGACTACACGACCCCAAGTAAGTAAATTATTTATGCAGGCCCTCTTTGGTCTTAGGCGCCACCTAATGGGGGTCACACTTGGAGATTTAAATTTTTAAATAGGTGTGTCAGATAATGAAAATAAGTACCCGGCAGGGGAGTTCAAGCTGGGAAAAGTACGAGCATTTTTCGGGCTGCTACTGTGGTGTGTCACAGTTTCCGTTTTCCCTGCTCTCCAGCTTTCCCCAATTTTCCTGGCCTTGTGATGTGGACACGGCTTGTAGGCCGTCGCCATTTGCCTTTTAACTTGGCTAACGATAATTTGTTTGGCAACTGGCGGCACTGCCGCTGCGTAATGAATTTTTATGCCCCTTTAATGTACTTTACGCAGATATGAAATTATGTGACCAAAGAGCGGCCGAATCCCGCGTTCGTTCCCAAGCCCAGCCTTCATTTTGAGCTCTCCGGTCGGCCGAGCGACCGCCTGCCATGTTAATTATTAATATTTTTTAATTAAAATGTGCACTAGCCACGGAAACACAAGCACGCCTGTTAGCCAAACACGAACGGATGCCACAAAAGTGTTCGCAAAAAGCAAGTCAAACACAAATAAAATCTCACACACTGCCATACAGTGGAAAATAAAGAATAAGCAAGCACTAAATCAACACACAACTTTGCTGCCGCAAAAAATTCGGAATTTAAAATAGAGCGACTGCCAGCTCGTCAGTCTGCGGTCTGCCAGATAAATCTCCAGTCTGGGAGCTCCGGCATTGGGGTCTGGGTCCATGGATCTGATTCTGAATCTGAATCTGGGCGGGGAAATGCCTGCATGAATTATCGCATTCAAATATAAAGCTGCGAGGCCTCTGGCCAAGAACGAACTGTATCTCTCTGCTTTTGCCCGACTTAATGTAGCGCGAAATAACTCGAATAATTCAAATGTGAAACTGTAGCAAATCGTGGTGTTCATATATTCCGCCTGTCCCATTATGCATGACCAAATTATGACTGCCAATAATCAAGAGAGAAGGCGCGAACATTTACAGTCACTTTTGCCGGCGAAAGAGTTACGCACCCTTTACTGGATTTCATTTTGGTTGAGTTAGTGGAGCAGTTAAAGCGAAATGGTGTCTATAAGTTAAGGTAAAGGTTTTAGAGAGGAAAATATACCAATCATTAATATGCCATTATTCTGTCTATCTTTCTTAAACTAAAATGTAAAAAATGTTATATGGCATACCAAAGAATTTAAAGAAGTTGTTCCTTGCCAAAAATAAGATACAAAAATAAATAAAGGATAAACCTTATTTATGAACAAGTAAGGTAAGGGTTACTTTTTCATTGTATTACCTAGATGTTTTCTGTAGTCTGGCAGGTTCAACTGCAGCATTCGAGGACCATTTTCATTTTCAATGGCTTTCGCAGTAATTGTCGCTGGGACATTACCGCCATCCTTGGCCATTTGATGGGCCCGCATTTCCAACCGGAAGCGCGTCCCATCGATTTGTCTCTGTCGCTGTCTTTCACTCGGTCTTCTCGGCTGGCACAATTTAGTGTTTAAGTAATATTTCGTTACTTCGGCGCGATGCAGGAGAGAGTTACACTGGCTGGCTGCACATAACTGTGTAATTTATTTTGCCCATTTCGCTTTGACTCACA